CTTTCCAGAGGGACCACTCTCTCCGTGACTCCCTTGTCCGCTCTACACTTCCCTCCACCACACCTGGCACTTTTCCCTGCAACCGCAAGAAGTGCTACACCTGCCCCTATACCTCCTCCCTCACCCCCATCCCAGGCCCCAAGAAGACTTTCCACATCAAGCAGATGTTCACCTGCACATCTGCCAATGTGGTATACTGCATCCGCTGTAGCCGGTGTGGCTTCCTCTACATCGGGGAAACCAAGCGGAGGCTCGGGGACCGCTTTGCAAAACACCTACGCTCCAATCGCAATAAACAACTGCACTTCCCAGTCGCGAACCATTTCAACTCCCCCTCCCATTCCTCAGACGACATGTCCATCCTGGGCCTCCTGCAGTGCCACAACGATGCCACCCGAAGGTTGCAGGAACGGCAACTCATATTCCGCTTGGGAACCCTGCAGCCCAATGGTATCAATGTGGATTTCACAAGTTTCAAAATCTCCTGTCCCCCTACCGCATCCCAAAACCAGTCCAGCTCGTCCCCGCCTCCCTAACCTGTTCTTCCTCCCACCTCAAGCCGCACCTCCATCTCCTACCGACTAACTTCATCCCGCCCCCTTGACCTGTCCGTCCTCCCTGGACTGACCTATCCCCTCCCTAACTCCCCACCTACACTCACCTTTACTGGTCCCATCCCTGCCTCTTCAACCTGTTTGTTTCCTCTCCACCTATCCTCTCCTCTGTCCATCTTCTATCCGCCTCCCACTCTCTCCCTATTTATTTCAGGACCCCCTTCCCCTTCCCCTTCCCCTCCCCCTTCTCTCATGAAGGGTCTAGGCCCGAAACGTCAGCCTTCCTGCTCCTATGATGCTGCTTGGCCTGCTGTGTTCATCCAGCTCTACACCTTGTTGTCGAGGTTTGAGGGTAATGCAGTTGTTGAGATGTATGCGGATTTACAAAAGGTGTTTGGTGCAGTGCCATTCAGCAGCTTCCGAGACAAGATTCTAGCTCATGAAGTAAAAGGAATGGTAACGGCAACATGGATATTGAATTGACTTGTTGATTGTAGATAAAACGTAGTAGTTAGTGGACTTTTCTCAGGCTGGAAAGGTACACAGCAGAGTTCCCCAGGGTCAGTGCTTTTTCTGATTGACGTTAATGATTGAGAACTTGGAGCACACAGCACAGTTTTTGAAGGTTTGTGGGTGGTACAAAGCTTGGCGACATTGTGAATGTGAGGAGGATAGTGCAGAGCTTTGAAATAGCATAGACAATGAACTTCATTTGCTACCTGTATGACCAATGTGGAGAAGTGAGGAGATGCATTTTACTTGGAAGTATATGGAGAGATAAATAAAGTCGGAACAATTCTAAAAGGTGTGTAGGAGTAGAGGAACCTCTTTATATGTACCTAATTCATTGAAGGTGACAGGCAGGTCAAGAGAGCTTGGTTAACAAAGGATACAGTTTGCTAGGCTTCATTATTAGGGACACAGCAAGAACAGAGAGGTTATGTTGAATTTGTATAAAACATGGTTTCAACCTCAGCTAGAGTATTGAATCCATTTCTGGGTGTCACACTTCAAAAGGATAGCTAGTGTGCAGGTTGTGGTGAGCTACTGCCTTGAAGTGTTGCAGTCCATTTGGTGGAGGTACACCCACAGTGCTGTTCAGAATGGAGTTCCAAGATTGAGTGGTGATGTTTCCACATATCTGATGCCCTTGTCCTTCTAGATTGTAGTGGTCATGAGTTTGGAACATGGTAAGAGTTCTTTATGAACCTCTGCAATGCATGTCATAAATGGTGCACACAGGTGCTACTAGGTGTCACTGGAGGAAGGAGAAGTGGGGCGGCACGGTGGCTCAATGGTTAGCACTGCAGCCTCACAGCGCCAGGGACCCGGGTTCGATTCCAGCCTCGGGCGACTGTCTGTGTGGAGTTTGCACATTCTCCCCATGTCTGCGTGGGTTTCCTCCGGGTGCTCCGGTTTCCTCCCACAGTCCAAAGATGTGCAGGCTAGGTGGGTTGGCCATGCTAAATTGCCCGTAGTGTTCAGGGGTGTGTGGGTTATAGGGGGATGGGTCTGGGTCGGATGGTCCAAGGGTCGGTGTGGAATTTTTGGGCCGAAGGGCCTGTTTCCACACTGCAGGGATTCTATGATGATCTATGAACGTGGTTCACAGTTTTTAGTGAACAACTCCACTTCTAACCTTACAATGGAAAGCATGTCATTGAAACAGGAAAAGATGGTTGGACTTAGGGCATTACTTCATGGAAGTACCCTGGGCCTGCACCCTGGCACAGTGGTTAGTAATGCTGCCTCTCAGTACCAGGCACCTGGTTCAATTCCACCCTCGGGCAACTGTCTGTATGGAGTTTGCATGTTCTCTTCATGCCTGCGTGGGTTTCCTCCAGGTGCTCCAGTTTCCTCCCACAGTTCAAAGATATGCGGGTTAGGTGGGTTAGCCATTGTTAAAAATCCCATGCAGCATTATGGGGATAAGATGGGAGGGTGGATCTGGGTGTGATGCTGTTAGGACAGTCAGTGCCGTCCCGATGCATCAAATAGCCTCTTTCTGTGCTGTAGGCAGTGGTATATTTCTGTAACTCCTGAAGTGATGCTTTGGAGTTGAGATGACTGACCTACAACAACGACAGCCAACGTCTAGTTCCGCAGAAAGGCATGAGCACCCGTCCTTTTGTTGGGGTTGAACTAATATGTGAATTTTCTCAGTCTACTGTGACTGTTTCCAGTTAATTTGTAGATCTCTAAAATGTTGTTCAATTGCATTACAATTTCCCAGCCCTACCACCATCCCGGAGGTGGGGTTCCCATTGCTGACAAACTGAACTTGACATATAAATACTACAAAAGCATTTAGAGGCTTGGAATTCAATGCTCAGTAACTCACTTCTTGCATTCCCAAATCCTGTCTACCATCCACAAGGTACACATCAGGAATGTGATGGAATACTCTCCACTTGGTTGGACGAGTGAAGTTGCAGCAACACACAAGAAGCTCAACACCAGCCTGGCCAAAAGAATCCAGTTTGATAGGCATCACACCTACCCCTACCTTTAAACATGAATTCCTTCCACCACTGATGCCTAGTGGCAGCAGCGTGTATCATATACAGGATACATTGCAGTAACTCACTAAGGTTTCTTTGACAGCATATAATCCACTCTGGCTGCAGAATCTCCATGAAATGGACTGAATTATTTCTCTCTAAGCTTGCAGTAATGATGTCACAATGGTTAATTCTGCGGTGTGAATGACACCTGATATACAGTGCACTGGGGCTAAGCACTCATTTGGTGCCAGCACAAAAATCGAATGATCATGAGTACATCTCCACACACATTATAGCTACCCTATTAGTAAGTGCAGCTTCCATGGTTGTAATTGAATCTCCATGTTCAGGTGGTAATTATGGCTTTTCTGAGCTTCTGTTTTTTCCTTCCTGAATGTTTTATTTCTTCAACCTTCCTGGAAAAAAATAACAAAATACAAGTTTATTCTTTTGGTATAATGCTACTGCAAAGGTGGTTATGCCATGAAAACTTGTTGATTGATTATCTCAGATAGTTACAGACCAAGTATGTTGCTGTGCATGAACTGATCATGCAGCCAATTGCCAAAGTCTTGCGGTCCATGAACTATCTACTCGAATCTCCCCAGCAGACTGAACAGTTTTTAAAAGTTGTCAATCTGTCTGATACAGTTGATAGGTGCCACAGATTATTTCACTTATCTCTGCTCGCCTTGATCCATTTGACAGGTTCAGTTGCAAAGGTTAGGCAGACGCTCATATAATACTCGGGCATTGGAAAAGATCAGTTGGGCCAAATGGCTTGTTTTGATGTTGTCGTTTATTATCATGATTGTTGTCATCATCTTGTCTGTTATGTTGAAGGCAGGTCCTCGGCAGATGGTAATCTTTCTGCCCTTCATTGACATATGCCATTCTTTTCATTTGGCAATGACCTCTTTCAATTTTCTGGCCAAACAATATTGATGTTCTCTTTTTCACTTTTAAATCCTTCCTCTACTATCTCTTAGACTTTTTCTCTGTGCCCTACCCAGAATCTCTGCCTTTTAATTATATTCATCAAATTTCTTTATTCATTCACACTCCAAAACACTCTTTCATTTGTTACTTCTTGTATCCAGCAGATTCTTTCCATTTGTGCCTCACCCATGTTTCAAAGCGATTTCAAAGCTTGTCTCTCGCTTTATGTAAAATCCATATTTTGTATCCATACCAGCAACATTGCTAGTCAGTGTTGACAAGTTTGTTTTTGAGTTGTTTATTTGGTTATCCAGTTAAGAACCACTTCTTATTAAATCTCCCTTTCCGTTGCTAGCCTTGTTCTTATTTGTTGTATCTTCCATCTGCAGATATTGCACTTCCTAAATATATGAATTTGTGTACCTGATATTCTGATTCTCTTTTCTCCTTGAAATGTTTCTGGGTGATTTTGAAATACCTGTATGCATCATTTAGGTTTTGTGGATGTTCATTTTTATGGCTAAGTTCATGTCTGCTGTTGAGTTTTATTTTGTAAACCACCTTTTGTGCTTGCTACAAGTGCTTTGTCATCTGCATATTTACCTGCGGTTATCATTTGCTTCCCCGACCCCTTTATACCAGATTCTACACCTTCAAATGTTTCTTTGATCATTATTTCTGCAGAGGCATTGAAGAGGACTGATGATGATAAACAACATCCTTGCTGAACTCCTGTTAGACATGGTTACGAGACTCTGGAGGTTACTTTTACTGTTGTTATTTTGCTCATGTACAGATTTCTGTCCAAACTGCTGCGAAGTGTTTCAGACCTATCAGGATATTGATCAAGGCAACCAGATCAGACACTGTATATTGTATGTAATCCACTGCTTTAAAACCTGCGTTAGAGTACCAGGGTTGATAATTGTGTTATTCTGTTCTGGTCTGATCTAGTTTGATCTAGTTTAGTCTTGTTCTCTCAAAGAACTTAGTAAACAAAATAAAAAATAAAACTTTTTTAGAAAATCCAGCTCTACATGACTGTTGTGTCTGTGAAATAGTGAGAGGGCAAGTGATGTGATCCTAATATTAATTTTTTCTTGCCCAACCTCCCTTTCATCTCCATCCTAGCAGTTTCAACAGGGAATTTGGAACACCCTATGTCAGGCTTTGTGAGAGATTTTGGAGTTTGGCTTTTTGCAAGTTTTCAAACAATTCAGCAACCTTGCATTTCTTTGCCATGTGCTAAATTCCAGAAGTTGCTCAAAAGAACCATTTACTGCCCTGATTATAGCATGTATGTATTCTTTAAGAAGCTCTGCTTTGTAGTTTGAAGATCCAAGGAGTCAAATTGGCTTTGGACCCAATAATGCGAAGATGCTGCAGTTTTATTTCCCAGACAGGGCTGGCAGCTGATTACTGATTTTAAAAAACCACACCAAGGAATCCTACGAATACTGTTGATGTTCCGAACGTAGCCCCAGGTTGGCATCTCTTTCTTCTAAAAAAAACATTGGTCTTTGCTAATATTTTGACCGTGCCCAGTTGAGTTGGGGGGCTTTAAATACTTGCCTACTAAGAATGCAAACACTTAAATGCGTTGTGTGTGCTGCAAGACCTTTTATATTGTACTCTTTTGTTGGTCTAGTTAAAACTCGGTTATAAACAATGGTGTTTACTTGCCGTGCTTTTGTTGTTTTAATCCCCATGTGAAGGATGTTTAAAGTTCTATTTGCTTCCTTGCCTTTTCAGAAGGATGGTGTTATTAGGGCAGTATTGTGAATCATTACGAGCAGAGGAGAGGTATCATTGAAAGCCTTGGCGTGTGATGCTGCATTTAACCAGGTCTAACAACTACTTTTGAGTGCCCTTATAATTTGCATTCCCTCTTCTAAACATCTTCATGCTCAAATTTAATCAGATCTATTGTAATCAAAATAAATTAAATGCACAAAACTTTGAGATGCCAGTGGGAAATATAAAGATTGATTGATTTAATGTTTAGAAAGCTGCCTCAAAACTAGGTTTTGAGGAATAGTGTAGAGGAAATTAATATATTTCATAGATTCCCTACAGTGTGGAAACAGGCCCTTTGGCCCAACAACTGCACACTGACCCTCAAAGCATCCCACCCAGACTCATCCCCCTAATCTAGGCATCCCTGAACACTACGGGCAGTTTAGCATTGCCAATCCACCTAGCCTGAGCATCTTTGGACTGTGGGAGGAAACTGGAGCACCCAGAGGAAACCCACACAGACACAGGGAGAATGTGCAAATTCCACACAGACAGTCGCCTGAGGCTGGAATCAAACCAGGGTCCCTGGCACTGTAAGGCAGCAGTGCTAACCACTGAGCCACCGTTGCTGCCCTGAAAAATTATTTTTCACGAGTGTCCTCATCTGTTTCTTACATGAAACCTGCCTTCAATAAAATCTTTAGAATTGAAAGGCAGCTTCTGATCTGTGTTAAACAGTGAAATTAGGAACATATTGGCTCACCAGCATTTGCAGTAATTTGCTTTTACTTGATGGTTGAGAAACCTTCTTGTCTAAGCTACATGGAGCAGTTTAGGTTAGTTATGAATGGGAGAAGTAATCTGGTATCAAGGTTATTTGGGTTCACACTATTCTAGATACAAGTGACACAGAAATTGTGTTAAAATTCTGCCGGTATTAAAATGAGCGAACAACTCATGGAGAGCTGATAGCAATCTATAGCTCTGTATAACACAATTGGTATAACAGACAAGCCAAAGAATTTGATGCTATTGTCATGAACATATTTGCTTTGTTATATTCAGGTGTTGGTGCATTTCACAGGTTAGTGTGACAGCTCCTTGCTATAACTAAAGAAAGTTGGCATGACTATTTTAAATTTGCAAGTGCTGCTAACAACATTTCTATCAACTACACTCTGACTTCAAAAGCATTAGTAGAGTGACAATGAATGACTGTGTAGCATGGAAAACCATGGTGATTTCTATAGTACCGTTTACAGTTTCTACATGCCCCAAAGTTATTTAAGAAGCCACTAATACTTTTGAAGTGTGATGACTGGAATGCAGTAAATTCAGCAACAATTCTACATGACCAGTCTCTACAATTGGCATGTGGTACCAACTAACTATTTATTTTAGCAAGCTGATGGACAAATATTGGGGACCAGGGCACCAGAAACATCTTTGATCATCTTTGAAATAGTGATTTGAGACCCATCTGAAAGAACAAAATAAGTTTTTAAAAAATAGAGTGCAGAACTTCATTTCAGAGTTGCGCTATGTTGTTTGCTAGTGATTGTTTATCACTTTTGTTGGCAGGATGCATTGCTTAAATCACAGGGCTAGGAGAATAAATGTAGTTTTGGAAAGGCTGTGTAAAGGATAGCAAGAATAATAGAACAGGTGATGTAGTAATGCTTTTTGTACAAACCCTCACCTTGGATATAACATTATTCCATATCTGATACTTTGAATTTCCTTCAAGGTTTGTTCCCTGATAACTGGGACTCCTCCTTTCACCAGAACTGAAGGGCAGTGTCCTTTGAAACAGATACTTTGTAGGCATTGAAGGCCTGGGCTGTATTTCATTGGTGTTTTATTTCCACATTAACTCTTGACCTTCCATTTTCCAGCCGAAGAACTGAAAATTATTAACAAAAATAGAAATTGCTGGAGAAATGTGGTAACATGTGTGGAGACAAAATGGAGTTAACAGTTTGAGTCCAGTGACCCTCTTCAGAACTGGTAGTAGCCAGAAAAAGATGGTAATAAGTTAAAGACAGGGGTGTGAGGGAGCTGCAGTTTGAGTGAATAGGCGGAAATGGAGGCCAAAGAGTGAGTGAGTGTGTGTGTGTGTGTGAGAGAGAGAGAGAGAGAGAAAGAAAGGGAGAGAATGACAGTTGAGTTGACAAGGGATGCACGATAATGTGCCAGTGAAAAGAAAAGTTGATGGTGGGGACCATTTATAGGTGAACATGAGTTTGCAGTGGTGAAAGTAGGGCTTGGGCTGGGTATGGAAGTTGGTGTTCAGGCTGTAGAGTTATTGAACTCAATGTTGAATCCTAAAGGCTGTAGGGGCCCCAAATGGAAAATGAGATGCTGTTCTTCCAGCTCGTACTGAGCCTTGCCAAACTTATTGTTCTGCTAAAGGAAACAAATTGAGATTTTACAAGTCATTGATTTTGCACGTGTCTGTTTGATTCTTTAGGCAGCATTATTTCTGGTGTCAGACGATCATAAAGGCCTAGATCTTGAGGTGTGCAAAGGCTTTGCTACACAAAGTTGTAGGTGAAGTCCAGGAGGTTGTAAGCAAAATATTTTGTCTTTTTTTGAAATTGTCATTGATCAGAAACAGGTGTATAATAGAAAATTCTCTTTTACAGGTACTCAGTTTATATTTTCCTTGTTCACCTTGACTGACTGTATATTGATCGAACGATGACTACCTTGTGTGTATTGCCGTTTAAAATTTAGCTGTCACTGTTTTTATCAGAGGTGATTTTTTTTAAAAAGAACTATTTTTTCCTAATTAACCCAGGCCTCTCGGTTCAGAAGTGGGGACAGGACCCCTGCACCACAAGAAGACCCTTTCAGAGGTGATATTTGAGTGAGATGTTAAGCAAGCTTCACCTGTCTATGCAGATGAGGATCTCCTCTCATTATTCAAAGAGAAGGAGGTGTTTTCCCGATGACCTGGCCGATACTAGACTCCGAACCTGCTGGTTATTCAAATTCCTCATTCCTATTATTTGTAAAGCCTGCAAAGAACCCGAAACGTTAACTCTGTTTTTTACTTCCCAGATGCTGCCAGATCTGCTGAGCTTTTCCAGCAACTTCTGTTTTTGTTAACTTTTTTTATTGTTTCTTCGACAGTCCACCAAGGATCAGAGACTTGTGTATTCTGGCAAACTTCTCCCTGACCACTTGCAACTCAAGGACATTTTCAGAAAGGTAATTTAAAACTCCTTCTTTTGATCTTGTTTGGTTACTATTACGTGAATTAATAGATTGCAACGGGATTGAAATTTAGATATCTGTTTTGTTTTCTGTGGTGTTTCAAATGTGTTCCAGTACCCATACACCTCTTATCTCCAAGATGCTTTAAATTGAACTTCTATATTACAATGAATAATATGCTTGTCATAAGGTATTAACAGGTCTAAGTAGGGAGATGGATGAGGATGTTGTCAAGTTCTGTTAGTGAGTTGGGATGATCGGGCTCCTGTATAATAGCAGATTTTTAAAAAAAAAAATCATAAAAGGTATTGTTGCTGGGCATTCCCACTTTACAGTTTTACCCCTTTCACTTGATATTGGTTCTCAAAGCCTGGTCCGTGGACCCAATGGGCTGCAAAATACAAGTCACTTGGACTGGTGTTCACTCAGAAAGGTTTAACTCCGTGCATTGTCTCAGTCCTGGCTCCATTGATGCAGCACTTCATGCCATTCATTACAACATACAAATCCAAATTCTCAACATTTGAGGGCTGAAAACAGAGGGACGAATCTGGCTGAACGTGGAGCCTGAGCTTGGCTTGGAAGCAGACATCATCTCATTGAAAGCAGTGCTATTTTTCGCATTGATTCTGATGAAAGGTTTTTTTATGATAGTGTGCAAAAATGGGTTCGGTAGGGTGGGTAGATATTGTACAAGATCATTTGCCCCACGTGTGTTGTCTATCAACAATAATGTTTGAGAATCGTTGGTCTATAGAAATCATAATGTTGTCATGTCTTTCATACCTAATTTTGAAGTTTGGAGATTGGTCTGGGTAATAATCATAAGAAGTCCAATAACATGTTTGAATTCATTTCTTTGTTTTTTGTGTCCTAGTTTACTCTAAATTTAGTTTCTGATTCTGTTAAACTCGTGCACAGCAGGTTTTGCAGCTATTTGTCTTAAGTGCTCCTGAGTAATTTCAGTGTTGTCAGGTGGTCCTGAGTACTGAATTTAGCTCTTGTATATCTGTGAATCACAAAGTTAACTTTCAAACCAAATAAATGAGAGAGTTTGGATAAAATAAATGCCAGCAATGATGGGAATAGTGAAGAAACCTACTATGGTTGGGCCATTTGATTCATTATTTGGGATGTGGGGCATTTACTACCCATCACCAATTGTTCTGGCAATGTGGTGATGAACTTCCCCTATTGTAATTCTTAGACTGTAGTACTTCTGAGGTGGTGTGATGCAAGGAATGTTGTGTGCAAACCAGGATGATATGTCTATATTCTCATAACATTATAGCCTGACCTTTTTCTTGAGGGAGATGGGGAGAAGAGAGTCTAGGAGAGCTATTGTTTGGCAAGTGTTTGTACTTGCTTCCTGTCAAGCCCTTTTACATAATATTATTCAGTTGGTACGTCTCTGGAATTTTAACCCTACCATAAGAGCAAGGGAAAGCTATTCCATCTTTATGCCTGCTGTGCTACTTAGTGAGACTGCAGCTGATTTGCTTACGACTACAACTTCACTCTTATGCCTGCCTCCTATAACATAAACTCCCCCAGTTGATCAAACATCTCTGATTCATCTTTGAATATATTCAGTGATCAAGTCACCACTGTTCTCTGGAGTATAGAATTCCATAAACCATTAACCCTCATAAAGAAGGAATTCCTTGTATCCATCTTAGATGGGAGACCCCTAGTCTGTAACAGTAACCCCTAGTTCAGTATTTCCCCACAGAGTTCAGTTTATTCTCAGGTTTTTAATCAGTCAGAAAATAGAGGGTTAAAGGCTCAAGGCAGGAAAATAGAATTGAGAATTAACATGAGGCATGATCTTATTGAATGGTGGCACAGACTTGATGGGTTGAATGGCTTACTCTCAGTAATGGTGCCATGAGGTTGTCATTGATTGTCATTGAAAAGAAAAGTTGTTCGCGGATACTATTGAAAGGTTCTCCTTATGCGTGCATAGTACTGCTGCCAGTATATAGGGACGTCAGAGTGTGCTGATCGCTAATAAATATTGTGCTTACATGGTCGCTGCCAGTTTGATTTTACTGGTGGGGTATTTAACAAAGGGTCAGTTGTGCAGAATTTGTGCACGTGCATGCATCTGACTCCAGATCCACAGTAATGCGATTGACATTTTACTGCCCTCTGAAATGGCCTAGCAAACAACTCAGTTCAAAGGCATTTAGGTTTGGGCACCAAACATCACTATGGAATAATGAAGGAAAAAGAACTTGGCAATACCCTCTATCATTGTATAACACTTTGCAACTATACTCTCTTCCCCTTTTGCAGGAAGTAACATTCAATTTATCTTCCTAGTCACTTGGTGTGCCGGCATGTTAAATTTTTTATTTGATTCATTACTGTCACATGTACCTAGGTATAGTGTAAAGTTTTGTTTTGCATACAGTACAAGCAGATCATACCATACAAAGTGCATAAGGATAATATTGTGATTCACATACAAAGGCATCTGAATCTCTGTCCACCTGTGTTCTGTTGTGGCTCGCATTTTCCTGTATCTTCATGATGCCATGGTGTTGGGACATAGTCACATGTTAAAATGTTTAACCTCCCTGCAAATTAATGAATGAAAATCAATTGTTCTTCATTATTTGGTTTGAAAAGCACAAATTCTTAATTACTTCTATGTGAATTGTTTACAGAGCAATATTTCCTTGATTCAGTTGTATATTTCGATTTTTTTTTTTTTTTTTTTTTTTTTTTTTTTTTTTTTTTTTTTTTTTTGAAGAGCTAAATGACTTGTGTGGAGCTAATTTCCCTAGCACATTTTGTCTGATGTATAAAATGAGCAAAACAGTAGATCAGGTTTAAAATGAAATTCTGCATGTGTATCTTTAGCTGTGGCTTAGTTATAGCATTCACTACTTTTGCTTTCTCGTTTTTCATTCTTTCCACCACTCTCATTTGTGACACAGCAAGACAAGTATCATATGGTTCACCTAGTCTGCTCTTCAAGGACTCCTCCAGGATCACCCAAATCCAGTTATAGGAACAATGGAACTCTGGCAACCAGCAACGGAACCATGGTAAATGTCTTTCTGTTTAAAGTTATTGCAGCCATCATTTTAAGAGTATGTATTGACCAATACTGCCATCCCCACCTGTCAGGACTTAAAACTGTCCTGAACTAGGTCGATCTCTTAGTGTTTGCAGTGGAACTGCGGGTTGCCATGCTTTCTGGAAAACAAAAATATCCTGTTAAAATTGCTGTATATGCACTATATCTGTAGTAAAAGATGCTAATTTGTTCACAGAATCTGATTATTTATTTAATGTTTTCCCATGTTTGCACTTGGTTTCTTCTTATTTCATTGCTTTTAGGGCAAGTTTTCCACCGTAAAATTTCTGATACAAGCATTGGCAGGTTTCTACATGTTTGAAAATGTCTATAAATAGTTATTATTATGCTATCATTTTGTGCATTCATTGAGGTAAAATGTCTTGGTTTTAGACCCAGTGACTTTAACTAAGCACATCTATGTTTAGTGATTTTTATTTTGGGATGACTTTATCCATTTACAGGCAGCCCAGGATGATGTGTTTTTGTGAATTTATGCATTTGCCGCTGGGCTCAATGAAGAATGTAACTGTGAAGAGTAATACACAGTCATTAGTCTGCTTCGACACAAACTCGGAAGCACTAGGTTTAAAAACCCTTGAATGTAACTGGAGAGATTTAACATAGAAGCTATCTGACATTTTCAACTTGGGTTATTTTACGTTTTGGATTTTCTAGATCATTTTGTCAGTCTTTGGTAGGTCAGTTGGTTTTCTTGTTTTGAGCTAGAGAAATATTTTAGGATGGATCTCAGACACGTTGCCATTTGCAAAGTGATTAGTGTTAATATCAAGGTGAACAAGGATGGTTGTATGACTGGAATTGAAAAATATCTTGAAACACCTGTGTGTGTTCATGCACCTTCTGAGGGGAGAAAAACAATTATTGTTTCAGATTAATGCTCTGTCAATCATGGCATCTGTTCGTTACTGGATATTTCTTGTTACTTAATGAAAACAATTACAATGGACTTTGATATCTTCTCAGAGTTCTGAAAATTCAAGTACCACAACACCATCGTCATCTCCAAGCCAAGAAACCATTATTGGATCCACAGGTTCTAATTCAGCTGATGTCAGACACCGCAACTTTTCTCAGGTTCCTTTAAACCATGCACAGAGTCATGGATTCCAGCACGTTATGCAAGGGTAAGTACAGAAAGTTGATGGTGGAACTTTTTGAATTAGTGCAGGGACCTGTAATGATGTCACTCCCTTCAGTGGTTTAGTGAAGGAATTTCAAGGTTTTGGACCCAGTACATGTCCAAGTCAGAACAATTGACTTGAAGATCCATTGAATCTTCAAAACACTGAATACTTCCTTCTTTGTAACGGCAACCTGCCTCTGAAATCTTGTTACAACAGCAGGCAAGTCAAATAAGCCTCCCATCCCTGTATTTGCAGCACAGTAAAATTTTAAGCATTGAATCCTTAAAGTTGCCCCAATGGTTCTTTATGAATAGCTGATACCAGACACCAAGTTTATAGCTTAAACCAGATTAACAATTCTTAATACTGTAACTAGTTGAGCAAAGTTAAACAACAAGATATTCTAATTATTATCTAGGACTTAAACTCGGTCTCCTTTGAACATCACTCCCACACTCTCAAACAGACAGCCACATTGTTAAGGAGTAAATGATAAGAGATGTACTTGGCTAGTTCATTTAAGTAGTTTCAATGATATGTAATAACACAGGCACATGGGATTGAATCTAGCTTTATTTCTGAAGAGACTGGTCAATGCAGACGTCTTCCTTTAGGCTCCAAGGGGATATTCACTTATTTCTTGTAACTGGGATTCTGTTCTCTGAACTTTCAATAAGTTGACAACAGGAGGGAAACTGGAGAGCAACTAAAATACTTTCCAGCAGCTTTCACAACCGCAGCCTTTCTCTTTGTTAGTTGGGTCGGCACTTACCTCTCGGTAATGGCCGCTTTATCATCAAAACATTTGCCAGCTTTTAAGCATAATGCATCTTGGAGCTAAGACACTTACAGTGCTGTTCAAGCAATAATCAACCAGCAATTAACTTCTCAGGTCGGGTCCCATAAACCAATATCAGTTTGTCCTTTCCTTTTTTTAAACAGAACAAGGTGCTGTTAGTAAACCAAAGGTTACCTTTGGTTCACAGGTCTTGGTTCCAACCAAAGATAAGAAAAATAAAAATAAACATCTCGGCACTCTAACCAAACTCATCTGTTGCTGAAAAACCCGTACTTAGCTGATTCTCCAGACAAGAATATTTCAGTGTGCTCCTGATCAGCACCTTGCTTCTTTCCTTCCAAAAACCAGTCCTTTTGAAATTGCTGCTCGTCATGCTGTAGGAAAAGTATCGTATCTGCCTATTGCCCTGGCTTTGACCCAGGTTGCCTCCTGGTCTCCTAATCTGCAAATGTAATATGCACATCATGTGTTTGAACTCCTCAATGACAATCCTTACCCCAAGATCTCAGTTTTTATCACTCTCTGGGCACTTGCAATCCTCTTTTCCTCAACAGCTCCAATACCAACACCTCCACCCCACCCAACTCCTCTCCCCTCTCACCATCACCACCTACCCCAGCTTGTGTCAAAAGCTCTGTTATTAATATTGGCCTTGGCTCAGAGGGTAGTCCTCTTGCCTCTGAGTCAGGTTCTAGTCCATGATTTAAACATGAAGATCACAGTTCACACTTCAGTTTAATGCCAAAGAAATATTATACAGTTGGAGGTGGTGTCTTTTGAATAATGTGTTAAGCTGAAGCCCATCTGCTTCTCATGTGAATGTAAAGTAGCTGGTATTATTTCACAGCTGAGTCTGGGAGTTCTCGTTATGGATTGGCCAATATTTTACCCTTAAGTCATCATCACTAAAACAAATGATTTCGACACTCCTGTTCTTGTTCATGGGGGCTTGCTATTTAGAAATTAACTGCTGTGTTTCTTTTATTACAATGGTAACTACATTTTTCAAAAATCACTTCAACAGCTTCAGGAGTTTTGAAACATCCTGTGCCTGTGAAATGTGCTATCTAATTCCAAACATTTTCTCAATGCTCAAAGTACTGTTTTCACAAGTTGTTCATATTCCTTTGATATTGGTACACTTAATATCATTGATCAAGTTTGCAGGGTTGGACATGCCTATTCAAATAATCTTAAATGACTTTTGGATGTGTAGACAGATACTGCGATATGTCTGACATGGGATATATGTGGAATCTAGTAATAGCAGCAGAGGAATTGAACAAGCAAACTCCTTAGTTTTAGGGCTTTGTTTTGGACTGGACTCCTTGTTGCCCTGATTTGTTGACTATTTTCTTGATGTCTAGGTCAGTTATCCTAACTTTTCCTGTGGCATTTGCAACCTCTATCCATTTTGGTCTCAAATCTTTGACCAGCTTTGGAGCAGAGTGGGTCTTTTGGAATCCAAATTGAGTTTCAGCAAGCTGGATCTGAGCATCTAATGCTATTCTCTTTATTTTTAAAAGATGATTATAAGGCCCTGCATGCTCTGTGTTTGCTGGTTACTGAATAACAGTTCTAGGTTTTTCCCAGGATAGGGGAATCGTCTTTTGAGGAGAGGTTCACTAGGTTGAGCTAGTGCTCGTTGGAGTTCAGAAGAATGATGAGCAACCTTGTTGAACTGTGAAATAAACTTAGGGGACTTGACAGGTTGGATTTGAAGAAGTTGTTACTCCTCATGTGAGAGCATAGCATAGAAGGCATAATTTCGGGGTAAGGAATTGCTAAGTAAGGATGAAAATGAGGAATTTCTTCTGAGGTTAATGAATTGGTGGAATTATTCACCTCAGAAGGTGGTAGGGGTTGGTTGTTAAGTGTATTCATGAGTGATTTAATCAGTGAGGGTATCAATGGTTATGGAGAAAAGGCAGGAAAGTGGAGTTGAGGATCATCAGATCTGTTATCATCTCATTGAATGTTGGAGCATACCTGATGGGCTGAAAGGACTCCTTCTGCTCTTGCGTCTGTGGTCTTTTGGACAAAATGTTTAGTAGGTTTCCAGTGTGTGGTGGACTGTAACTAATCTGTTGGAAGTGCAAAATTCTTCCATTATCTAGGCCTTAAAAAGTTGACATGCACATTTTCAGAAGATAGCCATCATAACAATTGCGAAACCTAGTTTTGGCTTTCTTCTCTCCACTGAACTCTGGTATTTCTTTCCTTTTAGACATGGAGTTAGCCAGGTTCCAATGCAGCCAGGAATCCCAGGCAACTTTCCAATATATTCCATGTACAGTCCACAGCATGTCCTCTGGTGGCAGCAGATGTATGCACGACAGTACTACATGCAGTAGTAAGTATTTTGTTACTCGGACCTGAGAAGATGCATTTCTCAGTTTTTTGAACAAATATGAGGATTAAATCAGACTATCAGGAAAATGGTACTGTATCTCTTTTTCATTTGTGGCAATTTCCCAGTTGCAAGTATTACTTTAGTCAAAGAAAAAGTTGTTGAGTTAAAGTGATGTGATATATTTTAACCCTCGGATCTTGTTTATAGGATTGATGCACAGTAACATTATATTCACCGTAGATTGTAACCCTGCAGTTTTACCTAGTACTTTGTGTTCTGTGTGAAGTCATTTTACTTTGAAATTCATGCAGTTATCATATGTAGTTAATTTTTGTTTACTGATATATTTGTTGTACTTTTTTTCTTTTAGCATAAATTAAACTGCCTTCTTAATTCTCTCAAAGAAATGGACCTTGCAGGAGAGTCGAAGTTCCTGATCAAGTCTAATTTGCATTTTAAGATTAGTTTTGATGTGAGCTGTTATCCAGTTTGTCTAAATAGTTTAACTGCTATAAAGCAGTAATCTGCTAACTAAAATAGGGAAGTTATTATCTATTACATTCTCCTCCATCCTCCTACGTTCTGCACTGTTATGCAGGTATCTGAAGAAAGATAACCTAAAATAATTGTTCCAGCTGTCCAGTTTCTTTCTATCCTTTTATGGGATGTGGAGACTGACAAGCTAGTGTTTTATCACCCTGTCACAAATAAGTTTTGAAGTAACTGAGTAACTCGCTAGGCCATTCAGAGGCAGGTAGGAGTCAATCACATATACACGGGAGTAGAGTTATATATTGGCCAGACAGTCTGATCCTGAGGATCAGCAAATCCTTTTATGCCAGAATGTATGTCACGAAGTCTACAGTGCACCCTCCCAGTCGTTTCCGACCTCTTATCACAGAGATCTTAGATGACAACATGTGGGAGAGACTGGGCCAGCTGTTATCTCTGGTTGAGCTGATCAAGTCCCCCAAGTCCTTAGAGAATAAAGCTTCTGGAAGCGACGGCTTACTGGCTGAGTTTTATTCAGCTCTGTGGAACTTAATTGGTCATGACCTGCTGGAGGTGGATGACCGTATGCTCTTGTCAGGTAGCATGTGTGAATCCATGAGGAAAGACTGCAAACGGGAGAGGGAGGAAATTAGCAATTGCTGACCAATTTCACTGCTGAATGCAGATTACAAATTCTGCATGTGGGATGTGGTCTCTAAAATGGGCTTTGGGGAGGGAGTATGCAATTGGATCTGACCGCTCTATACCAACATCAATAGTGCAGTTTCTACTAATGGGCTGAAATTGGAAAGTTTCCCAATCAGATCCGGAGTCAGGCAGGGCTGCCCACTTTCTCCTGCCTTGTTTGTGTCGTATAGAGCCTTTTGCTGAGTCCATCAGGAAGGATGTGAGCCTGAGAGGGTGACTATTCTAGGCAGCGGAGACCTGCAGCCAAAGCCTCCCTGTACATGGATGATGTTGCCATTTTCTGTTCAAATCCACTGTCAATGTGCAGACCCATGAGCACCAGATCACACTGGTCTCGGGAGCAAAGATAAATCAAGGCAAGAGCGAATCCCATGTTCTTTGGGAATTGGTCGACCGGTCCTTTATCCCCTTCATCATCAGGACAGATTACCTAAAGGTGCTTGGAATATGGTCCAAAGATACTGGGGCGTGCGCAAAAACTTGGCACGAGCTCGTCGCCAAGGTGATGCAGAAATTGGGCTTTTGGGAGCTCACTTCCCATTGCAGGTAAAAGCCTGGTATCAGGTGTGAGACACTCTCTCTGTTGTTGCCTGTTCCCAGAACCTGCGCTGTTGCCGTCACCTGAGCTGACTTCCATTTCATCTGGAGGTCTTAGATGGACCGTGTCTGCAGGGACACCATGTACAAAACTCTGGATAAGGAGGGAAGAATGTACCAAATGCTGGTCTCATCCTGATGGCCACCTTTGTATGTGGCTGCATGAAGCTGTGCATAGATCCTCAGTATTCAAGCATTAATTGTCACTTTGCACTGAGGTTCTACTTGTCCCTGGTGTTGCGAAGGATAGGACTGGCCTTGTTGTTGCGGAATGCTCCAAGTAGTTGGACTATTCCATATCAGCTGTCTTTGTGGAGTAATTTGCCAAGAAAAACATCTTTGACTACAAGTCCATCAGGCAGTGGTCAGCATGTAGTGTCCTCAAGACCCTGCAGCAAAAGGAGAGGGTGGATCCTTTTGGTTTGTTCCCTGGGTAGACTATCAGTCATTTAGTAGAATGTCTCATGGCCAGAACTTAGCAGCAAGCACCAAGACATTGTTTGGCTAGTGGTGAGAACGGCACTAACTGTGAGATCCTTCATATGTAACCATGCCATACAGAAAGTACCCTGATCTATCCCCTCTTGGTCCAAAGTGGATAACCTTACACTTATGTACTTTGAACTCCGTTTTGCCCATTCACTTAGTCTATCAATATCCCTTTGTAACTTTATGCTATAATCTACACTGTCTATAATGCTGTCTAACTTTGTGTCAGCATATTTGGTTATTTCACTTTCTGTCATTTTCCAAGTGGTTAATCAATATTGTGAATAATTGAGGCCCTAACTCTTGTTGGACACCACCGGTCACATCCTTCCAATTTGAGTAGCTGTGCATTATCCATACTTTATGTCGCCTGCCACTAACTAATTTCCCAGCCATGTTAGTAATTTGCCCTCAAGCCCATGGGTTTATTCCTTAGTTAACAGTCTATGATGTGGGAATTTATCAAATGCCTTCTGGATGTCCATATAAAGACCATCCACAGATATTCCTCTGTCCACTACCTTCGGCACCTTTTCAAAACAGTGAGCTTTCTCAGGCATGATGTACCTGTAATAAATTCATGCTGACTCTCCCTGATCAACTGAAAATTTTTAAGGTATTTCATAGAATCCCAACCGTGTAGAAACAGGTCCTTTGGCCCAACAAGTCTACAGTGACCCTCAGAGCATCCCACCCAGACCTATCCACCTATAATCTACCGAATCTACACAACGGGCAATTTAACATGACCAATCCACCTAGCCTGCACATCTTTGGACTGTGGGAGAAAACCGGATCAAACCTACACAGACACTGGGAGAATGTGCAAACTCCACATAGACAGTTGCCTGAGGGTGGAATGAACCCGGGTCCGTGGTGCTGTGAGGCAGCCGTGCTAACCACTGAGCCACTGTGCCATATTCTTTTACCTATCTTGACAGACTCTAACAACTTCCTCACTGCAGATGTTAGGCTAACTAATCTGTATTTCCCTGGTGCAAATAGTTTTGCCATGAAAAGCCGCCTCTAATTCAGCACAGATTCTAGAGCAAAAACTACACTTGTGCCTTCTGAGTTTTGATGGAGAAAAAGGATGTTTGATTTCCATATGGCTAGTGTTATCTTTGTCTGGGAGTGTCTGCTGCCAAAAACAGAACTTTTTTTTTCCCAACTCTCCATTCTAACATTTGACTTAATGAGCACAAAGCTTCATAATTTGTTTCTTTATCTCCTGCTTCTAGTCAAGCTGCCATCAGGCTCTCAGGATCAACCAATATGCAGTCCTCCAGTCCAGCATCTTCTGAGCCCGTGAACCCTGAGCCTAATCGCCCGGATGAGGCCCCAGCTGTCCCCATTGCAGCTGTTCCAGAGAACAGACCCATCAACCAGAATATTCAGATGAATGCACAAGGAGGCCCAGTCCTAAATGAAGAGGACTTAAACCGTGATTGGTTGGACTGGATGTACACTGTCTCCCGAGCAGGCATCCTGCTAAGTATTGTCTATTTCTACTCCTCTTTCAGCCGCTTTGTGATGGTGATGGGAGCTATTTTACTGGTTTACTTGTAAGTATTGTTACTCTTTTTTTTTTCTTAATCTTAGATTTGTAATTAAATTCAAAGCTGGGCCTTACAAAGTATTTCCTATTACAAAGTTTTTTTCAATTAAGCAGACAGACAAGAAGAATGAGAAATCTTTAGTAACTGCTTTATGTTATAATTTTAGTTTAGTTTATAAGTTTAGTTATAATTTTCAACTTTTGTAAACGTCAACTTTTTTGTAATTCTTATGGTGACTTCTATGTTCATAACTCTGAATTACAAAAATCAGAACTTATTTTGGCCCAAGTCAGCTTCTGTTATTTCTAGAAACAGTAGAAACTGCCGATGCTGGAGAATCTGAGACAACAAAGTGTAGAGCTGGATGAACACAGGCCACACAGCATCAGAGGAGCAGAAAAGCTGACGTTTCGGGTCTAGACCCTTCTTCAGAAATGGGGGAGGGGAAGGAGATTCTGAAATAAATAGGGAGAAAGGGGGAGGCGGATAGAAGATGGATAAAGGAGAAGATAGGTGGAGAGGAGACAGACAGGTCAAGGAGACAGGGTTGGAGCCAGTAAAGGTGAGTGCAGGTGGGGAGTTAGGGAGGGGATAGGTCGGTCCAGGGAGGACGGACAGGTCAAGGGGGTGGGATGAGGTTAGTAGGTAGGAGATGGGGGTGGGGCTTGAGGTGGGAGGAGTGGATGGGTGGGAGGACAAGTTAGGGAGGCGGGAACGAGCTGGGCTGGTTTTGGGATGCGGTCGGGGGAGGGGAGATTTTGAAGCTTGTGAAGTCCACATTGATACCATTGAGCTGCAGGGTTCCCAAGCGAAATAGGAGGTGCTGTTCCTGCAACCTTCGGGTGGCATCGTTGTGGCACTGCAGGAGGCCCAGGATGGACATGTCGTCCAAGGAGTGGGAGGGGGAGTCGAAATGGTTCGCGACTGGGAGGTGCAGTTGTTTGGTGCGAACGGAGCGTAGGTGTTCCGCAAAGTGGTCCCCAAGCCGCCGCTTGGTTTCCCCGATGTAGAGGAGGCCACAACGGGAACAGCGGATACAGCATACCACATTAGCAGATGTGCAGGTGAACATCTGTTTGATGTGGAAGGTCTTCTTAGGGCCTGGGATGGGGGTGAGGGGGGAGGGGGAGGTGTAGGGGCAGGGTGTAGCACTTTCTGTGGTTGCAGGGAAAAGTGCCGGGGGTAGTGGGGCTGATGGGGAATGTGGAGCGGACAAGGGAGTCACGGAGAGAGTGGTCCCTCCGGAAAACAGATAAGGGTGGGGAGGGAAAAATGTCTTTGGTAGTGGGGTCGGATTACAGATGGCGGAAGTGTCGGAGGATGATGCGTTAGATCCGGAGGTTGGTGGGGTGGTACGTGAGGACGAGGGGGATTCTGTTTTGGTTATTATTGTGGGGAGGGGGTGTGAGGGATGAGTTGCAGGAAATGTGAGAGACACGGTCGAGGGCGTTTTCGACCACTGTGGAGGAGAAGTTGCGGTCCTTGAAAAACGAGGACATCTGGGATGTCCGGGAGTGCAATGCCTAATCTCGGGAGCAGATGCGCCGGAGGCGAAGGAATTGGAAAAAGGGGATGGCCTTTTTCCAGGAAGGTGGGTGAGAGGAGGTGTATTCTAGGTAGCTGTGGGAGTCGGTAGGTGTGAAATGGATATCAGTTTCCAGGTGGTTGCCAGAGATGGAAATAGAGAGGTGTTAGAGATGGTCCAGGTAAACTTAAGGTTGGGGTGGAAGGTGTTAGTGAAGTGGATGAACTGTTCGAGCTCCTCGTGGGAGCGTGAGGCGGCGCCGATACAGTCATCGATGTAACGGAGGAAGAGGTGGGGGATAGGGCCAGTGTAGCTTTGGAAGAGGGATTGTTCCACGTATCCTACCAAGAGGCAGGCATAGCTTGGGCCCATGCGGGGGTACCCATGGCCACCCCCTTTGTCTGTAGGAAGTGGGAGGAATTGAAAGAGAAGTTGTTGAGGGTGAGGACGAGTTTGGCTAAGCGGATGAGGGTGTCAGTGGAGGGGGACTGGTCGGGCCTGCGGGACAGGAAGAAGCGGAGGGCCTTTAGGCCATCTGCATGGAGAATGCAAATATGTAGGGACTGGACATCCATGGTAAAGATGAGGTGTTGGGGACCAGGGAATTGGAAGTTCTGGAGGAGGTGGAGGGCGTGGGTGGTGTCACGGACGTAGGTGGGGAGTTCCTGGACCAAGGGGGAGAAAATGGAGTCGAGATAAGTGGAGATGAGTTCAGTGGGGCAGGAGCAGGCGGAGACAATGGGTCGACCAGGGCAGTCAGGTTTGTGGATTTTGGGAAGGAGATAGAAGCGGGCAGTGCTGGGTTGGGGAACGATGAGGTTGGAGGCTGTGGGTGGGAAGTCACCTGAGGTGATGAGGTTGATGGTCGGGGGTGGGGTCATGATCAAGGAGGCGGTAGAGGAGGTGTCGGAGAGTCGGTGCCTGGCTTCTGTAACTCTGCTTGTATTCGGTACTTTGGGCATCCAGTAACTTTTTTGATGTGAAGTGTGCAACCTGTGTGTAATTTGGCTTGTGATGGTCCTGGATTATCGCCCATGTGCTAAGTAGATGTAAGTATTTTGAACACAAACTTTGAATATATTTGTAGTTATTGTCGAGGTGCAGGCAAAATGAGCTTGCTAGCATCTCTTATGCATCCATAGTTGTAATGGGAGCAATGAGTTAACCATGAGGACTTGGATCAGGGATGCATGTAAGCTAAATGAAGTATAAGAGGCAGGTTTCTATGCCTTAAAGGACTGTGATTCAGTTGGTAAGGAAAAAACAGAGGAGGTATCAGAAGAGATCTCCGATCTCTGTGGGAATGGGTTTTCCGGTGGGTGCTAAAGAATGAAAGGGAAAAGAAGGTGTGAGAGGAAATGGTAGGAGGCCAGTATCTGTGGTATGGAACAATCAGTAGCAGGTAATTGTAGGACTGAATGAGGTTTACAGATAGGCAGAGCAAGGACACGGTGTTCATATCCAAAGATGTGAATTGTAAATCTGAGGTGGGGGAGGTAGGGGTAAATGAGTTAGGCTAAACAACCAATATAGGTCAAAGGTCAACAAAACAGACCGGCTAGTTTCTGTCCTGGATTGGATAGTGAATTTGGATTGGAACAACTTTATTTGCAGAGTGCACGGTGAAGATCCAGCTAGCAAAGATCTGCTCAAGATTCAACTATTGCAGAAAACAAGATTTTCAACTGAGGTATAGATGGTACTGAGCAATTTTGTCCAGTTGGAAGGTTGCACAAGATGCAAGGTTGTGAATAAGCTAGTTCAGTCTGAGGCAGTCATCTGAAGGAAAATGGAGTCCATGGCATGGGTGCCAAGTGGTAGTAAATAATGAATGCTTTAGTTCGCCTGGTATTTAACTGAAGGAAATGATGGCTAATCCAAGTCGAGATCAGCAGGGGTTCAAATGGAGTTACGAGAGACATGAGCAAAAATCTCCTGAGGTCACAATACAGTTGAGGACATCAGGGAGGAAGGGGAAGTTGGAGGTGAGAGTAGTGGATTGTTAACATCTCTGACATTCCCTGCAGTAAAGTTTTGAATTGACACAATTAAATTATTATTAGTACAATTGTTTCTGCCACCTTACGAACAATAACCTTCCTTTCCCGATCCTCCTTTCTCACCAACCTTTTCAAGCAAAGTGGAGTGAAAATCTGAAACCTTCTGCTTCCTAAATTCTGGAAACAAATTAAAATTTTCACAACCCGGATGGATGCATGTTTGTTGGGTAATAGTGTTGCGGAATGTGTGGAAACGTGGCTAAATGGAGTTGTGCAGACCAGCAAGAATCTAGTTGAATGGCTGAAGTAAGTGAATGACTAGCATTTGTTCCTATGGCACAAATGGAATAAGGATGTGTTTTCATCTTGTTTCATGGTCTAGACTCCAGAGTTTTTAGATGTTTGGAAGATGACCACCATTGCATCCAACATTTCAAGGGCCACTTCTATGAGTACTGTAGGCTGTATGTTGTTACGACCCCATTGTCAGCCTTAGCCCCATTAATTTCCCTAGCACGATTTTCTTAACTAACACCGATTTCCTTCAATTCTGCCCCCTTACTAGACCCTTGCTTCCCTAACATTTCTGGGATGTTATTTGTGCTCTCCTTTGTGAAGGCAGACCAAAGTACGTGTTCAAACCTTTTACCATTTCTTTGTTCACTGATTTGTAATATCCCCAGTTACTGACTATAAGGGGGCTACATTTTTCTTTGCTAATTTTTTTCTTTTCACATTACAGATTGTTAGTGCACTTATAGTCTTGAGTTATGTTGTTGGATAAACAATTTTATTGAATGTATGTCAATTGTCAGAAAATAAAATATGCTGCTGCTTTGATCCAGCATTTCTTCAATGATGCACCTTTTATAAACTGTCTCTGATAGCACTTGGCTAAATTTTACAACTCAACCTGTAAGCTTGCATGACAAATGTAATTTTCATAAAACAAAGAGGGCCTTCGTTTGATTAAATATATTCTTCATCATGTAGCTTTCCTGTCTAATCACATCTTGATTGTTATTCTGTTTGTCACGATGTTAACTGGTTTTTGGCACCAAAGCTGTTTTGGTGAACTAAATAATGTATAATGGTTTTGTAGATGCTTATTGGATTAGAAAAGTCTGACACTTTGTTTAAAAAGCATACAGTGTGACTGCCAAATATGAAGTCCTGTTAACTAAGATAGCAGTGTGGAGCTGGAGGAACACCACAGGCCAGGCAGCATCAGAGGAGTAGGAAAGTTGACGCTTCAGGTCGGGACCCTTCTTCTGATGCTGCCTGGCCTGCTGTGTTCCTCCAGCTTCAGTGCCACACTGTGTTATGGGAACAAAAACAAAGTTGCTGGAAAAGCTCAGCAGGTCTGGCAGCATCTGTGAAGGAGAAAACAGAGTTAATGTTTTGGGTCTGGTGAGCCTTCCTCAGAACTTCCACGCTGTGTTATCTCTGACTCCAGCACCGGCAGTTCTTATTATCTCTGAGTGAGTTATAAGTCCTGTTAACAGTTGACTTTACACTTTTTAATACAGACAGTGAAGCCATAAAGCCATCTATACGTTTGTTGGGTTCCTTTTATGCTATCATAATTCACTGCAAAGATTGAAACTCATTTTAATACATCAGGGACCAAAATACAGTCGGTTTGTTTCTCTCCACAATCTCGGAACAAAGAATAATTTGTTTCCATTCCTAATGTGCCACTACCTTAATTTTAAAATCAAAATCAATGAGCATTGCTGCTCTAGCAATAATTCAGAAGACTTCTTCCCCTTGGGTCCACATTGCTTTGGAACATTAAATTTATCTTGTGGAGGTGCTGTTGGAATTCCACTATTATCTTCACTATGCAACAGACCTTTTATTCTTGCATGATATGCATTCCTCCTCTGGCTTCCAAACTATCACCCTGCCTTGGTTTTTATTTATTATGTCTTCCTTCATTTGGAGCTCTTCATTGGCTGATGTTTAAGTCCACTTTTATCAGTTCCCCTGCTATTGTCTCCTAAAAAAAATGAATATACCTTTCTTTTGATTATGGTGATAACACTAAACGTGTCCCATTGTTGCCCTTTTCTCCGCAAAGCTGCTTTTGAGCCCTGTCCTTCCTGAGAGGTCACATCAAGCAAACTTGCCAGGCTTAAGATTTGCTTTGCATAACTGAGTATCTGATTTTAAGTGAGGAAAGTTTTTAAACTTTACTGCAAATCACTTGAAACCTTTCTTCAGGATTTTATATATGCCAAAATTCAGCAACTGACAGTACAGTGCCAACATAGCAACATAGAAAATTGGAGCAGCAGTAGACAACGCAGCCCTTCAAGCTTGCTCCACCGTTTATTGTGATCATATCTGATCATCAAACGCAAATACTTTTCCCCTATAACCTTTTGATCCCTTTGCCGCAAGTCCTATACTCAACTCCTTGTTGGAATTATGTGTTTTTTGGATTTGACTGCTTTCTGTTGTAATGAATTATAAAGGTTCATCACTCTCTCTGGATGAAGAAATTCCTCTTCATCTCAATTCTAAATGGCTTATCCTGTATTCTTAAACAGTGAGCTCTGGTTCTGGACTCCCCTGCTATCAAAAGCATTCTTCCTATATCTGCCCTGACTAGTCCTGTTAGGATCTCATGAATTTGTATGAGTTATCTCTCCACATACAGTCCCTACCCCCACCACCAATTCTTCTAAATTCCAGTGAATATAATCTTAAACAATTCAACTTTTTGTCTTATGTCAGTCCTGACATCCCAGGAATCAGTCTGCAAACTTTTGCTGCACTCCCTCCTATAGCAAGTGCAGTAGTAATTTCAGGAGTCAGAATTGTGATTGAGTTATGCAAGCAACTTGGAATCCAATTGAATATCTGGGTTTGGAGATAGTAGGAACTGCAGATGCTGGAGAATCCGAGACAACAAGGTGCAGGGCTGGATGAACACAGCAGGCCAAGCAGCATCATAGGAGCAGAGAGGCTGAC